TTTCCTGCCCAAGTATTTACGATGATAGCGAAGAAACTCTCAAAATTTATAATATTGTGAACCTTCGCTATCAAATTCCTAAATGACTTCAGCATATGAGGATTTTGTTGTCATTCACCACCCCTTCACCCCCACCTCATACACTCTACGGTGCGACATCTGTCGATCCAAAAGGCACTTCCTTCTGCTGTTTCGTTATTCGTACCTCAGGTGTTTCAGAGTCACATTGTGGCTGGTTAAGGGAATGCATTTTGTGCATGAATGTACCCTCCCCCCGCGTCCACAGAAAAACACCTACCCAACAAAATCCCCCCTCCCTCCCCTTCACTGGGCGAATGCTTCGAATTCACACAGACCTGTGCAGTAATCGAATTCATCAGTCTGGAACGCAAACATTAACAGACAGACAGACAGACAGATATACTGTATAGTGTCAGAGTATTAAATGCTCTGTTTTTACGGATGTACAGAATAACTAGCTGCACTCCAGCAAGGAGGAAACTCGCACGGGTTGTGACTTTTTGAAAGTTGTCATCTTGACCTTTAATTTTTTCACTTCACCCTTTAGAGGGCCGCGGGGCACTTAGGTATTTTATTCTGGCTAATGCTAGACGATTTTATTCTGCTGAGAGCAACCCCTGACCTCGAAGCGTTACCACACAAAATATCTCCTGACTACAGAGACCAGTGTGAATACTGTGCTCATGTTGTTGAGTCATGAGGCAGATGGAATTTTTTCTATAGATGTGACGTCACCACAGGCAGTCAAAGATGGATGCCGTTATTAAAAACATATAAATTATGTTATTCAGAAAAAAAATTGAAACTTTATAAATATACTGTAAATGACTTAGATGGTTACCTTAAAGAATTATATCCAGCGTTAGTGTTTCCCAACCTAGGTGAGTGTAGAGTAAAGGGTCTTGGAGGGTTTTTGTTAGTGTTTGCGAGTAATTGGTGTTAAGTCATACCTGAGGCTGGATTACAGGATTTATTCACACTCTTTATATAAACGGCTTCACGGGGAGAACACTGATACGGGTTTTGTTTTACTTTGTTCCCATTGTACGAGCAACAACAGGAAGAAAGTGAACATAGAGTTGCGCATCAGAACTAAGATGAATATTATTGATAGTGAAGTGTGTCAAGTGATCCAGTGATGACACACACACACACACACACACACACACACACACACCTACACACACCTACACACACCTTAAGACAAAATGAAAGCCAACCAACACAATACCTTACCAAAATACACACAACAGGAAGAGAGAATCATCCAACCAATACAATACTTTACACTCATTATACAAAATATACACCACACCACAGGGACACAAAAAATTACGATATATACAGTAATGAAAAAAGCTCCACTATACACTGACCCCCACATCACCCAACACGGCAGGACAGAGAGTGGCAATACATAGTTAAAATCTGACAGCGATAATCTCTCTATTGACAATAAATTACAAGTAGCCACAATTACATAGGCTCCCGAGAGAATGCACCTATTACCAAAACCAAAATAATGATCATCCACAAATATTTGAAATTTCTTTTTTATTCAGAGCGGGAATAATTTTTTTTGTTTTCCTTTCTGTACTGTGTTGTAATATATTGGTCTATGGAAATTATATTATACCAGGAATGTGATGGTATTTTGGGCCAATATGTGTGTGTGTATATATGTGTGTGTATGTATGTGTGTGTTTATTTTTCGTTATCTCATGTTATTGTTGATAAGGTTTGTTTTGATTCGTCGAGGTGCTTAAGCTGCGTTGTTATTGAGTGAGCCTGTTATCGTAGCTCCGCCCACCCGTCGTAAAAGAAGCGCGCGTTGGAAATGTAAACAATGGTTGAGAAAATTTGGTCGTTTTCTATATTTTTTCCCCTTCGTCCGATTTTTTATCAATAATTATTACAGCTGTGATTCTTTTCTCTTTCTTTCTCTCCTTCTACTGTTTCATTCCATTCTCTGCAAGTTATTGTTGTTCTTATTCATCTTCTTCCATTTCTACCTATCCTTCTACCTCTTCCACTTATCTATCTTCATCTATCTATCTGTCTCTGTTTCTCTTCATCCTTCCATTATCTCTCTATTATCTATTCCTACCTTTCGTTTTCATTTCCCTTGTTCTTTTTGACTATCGACGTTCTTATGTGTTTTGAGAGATCTGCCTCTTGAAACTTCCTTATTACTTCCTCCTCCTCTCATCTTCCCCTCCTCCTCTACCCATCCCTTTCATCCCCCTCTTAAGTTAATCCTCTCCATCCTTCCATTCCCCTCTTTCTATCCTCTTTCAACATCCTCTCCACTCCTTCGCTTATCCTCCCTCCCCTCACCACTTGTTCTTCCTTTGTTCTTCCTCTTCCCTTCTCTCTCTCTCTCTCTCCTTGTTACTCCCTATATCTCTCCCTATTCTCTATGTCTCTCAGTTTATCATCTTATCGTTCAGTATCTCATTTGTTCTGGTTTCTCCTCTCTCCTCTCTCTTTCTCTCTCTCTCTCTCTCTCTCTCTCTCTCTCTCTCTCCCCTTTCATCGATATCCTCTCATCCTCCACCTTTACATCTCCCTCTTTCTTTTACTTTCTCCTTTCCTTCCCACCCCTTACACGTCCTCTCTCTCTCTCTCTCTCTCTCTCTCTCTCTTGTATCCACCCCCTCTCTCCCATCATCTCATTGCTCCTCACCCCCTCACGCTCTCTCACGCCTGAACTCCCCACCATTCTCCCCACCCACCAGAACCTTCTCTCTCCTTCCCTCACCCAAGGCAGTCAAACTACACAAAACAAGTTACAAGTAAGTAATCAAATACTGGTAACAAAGTCATTAAACTTACTATCTGACTTGTTGTTCTTCTTCATAATATAATGTTTGTTGTTCTTCATGTTATTTGTTGTTGTTCATGTTATTTGTTGTTCTTCATGTTATAATGTTTGTTGTTCATGTTATAATGTTCGTTGTTCATGTTATGTTCGTTGTTCTTCATAATATAATGTTTGTTGTTGTTCATGTTATTATGTTCGTTGTTCTTCATGGTATAATGTTCGTTGTTCTTCAAGGTATAATGCTTGTTATTGTCGTTGTTTTTCACGTTATTATGTTGTTGTTATTTGTGTTTCTTCATGTTTTAGCTGTTGTTGTTGTCTTTGTTCTGTGTCATTTTCATTATTATTTTTCCTTTAGTTGTCATTTATTCTTCTTCTTGTTTACATTTGATTTTTATGATTGAGTTGTGTTGTTGTTATTTTTTATGTTTTGTTGTTGTTTTTGTTGTCATGTTATTTAGTTGTCATGACCAGTGATTCTATTGTTGCTGTATTTCTGTATATTTGTTTGTTGCTCTCTCTCTCTCTCTCAACATCCCCTTCTCTCTCTCACTCTCTCCCTCTCTCTCAACCCACCCCCCTCTCCCTCTCCCCACTATCAAGGTGGGGAGTCAACAAACCTCTTCAAGTGGACACATTTTACAAGTGGAGTGATGGCGGCCACAGATGGTATGGACACCTGCCGTGATTTATCTCTGGAGGAGGAGGAGGAGGCGGGAGGTTGCTTCAATGTGTGAAGAGAGAGAGTCATAATGGGTGTTTATGCCTCCTGCAGGACGCCAGTGAAGGAGGTCTCACACCCTTGGTCACTCTCAATGCCAGAGACTAAAAGTTTATTCTGTCACTTTTTTCACGGTGTATTTTATTTATTTTGTTGGTTTATTTTATTTATTACTTGACGTGTTAGATGGTTTATTTTATTTATACTTAATGATTTTTTTTAGGAAGGTCTGGAAGCTAATTTGTTCTTTCTATGTATATTCTCTTTCGTTCTTTCTCTCGTTCTCTCTATTTTTTTTTTAGTTTACCTCTCTCTTTCTCTCCCGTTCTCCTATTCTCTCGCTCTTTCTCTTCCCTTCTCATCTCTCTTGTTCTATATTTTTCTCTTCTTTTCACTCTTTCCTTCTTTTTTTCTTCCACTTTCTTTCTCTCTTTCACTCTCAAGAATGAAGAGTGAATGGCATATGGAGGTGAGATATCTCTTTCTCACACTCTTTTCTTCCCTCTGTCTCTCTCTCTCTCTCTCTCTCTCTCTCTCTGTCTCTCTCTCTCTCGTAGGAAGGGTGATTGAATGATACATGGAAGTGAGATTAACTTTTTCAATTTTGCTTTTGTCATGGATTTCTTGAGTCATTCCTGGAGTGTGTGTGTGTGTGTGTGTGTGTGTGTGTGTGTGTGTGTGTGTGTTTTCTTTTTATTTTTCTTTCATTCTTTTTACGTGTCCAAGCGATTTTTTTTTCCTTCTTGGAACACTAAAACGTGGAAAAATTTCTCTTCCTTTTAAAAGTAAGATGGGCATGATTGGTTGTGTGTATGAAGAGAGAGAGAGAGCCCCTAAGGTGTGGAAAAGATGAAACTCAACGCTGGATGAAGTGATCACTCTGGTGTAAAACGCGACCTTTGTGTTGGCAACATTCTCAAGAGGGAGCGATTTCCAGGATTTTAAAGACAAAAATGAAAACCTTCTGCCGGGCTATAAAAAAAATCCCTGAATAATACAAACTTTTCGGTGGAAGGAAGAGCTCTCTCTCTCTCTCTCTCTCTCTCTCTCTCTCTCTCTCTCTCTCTCTCTCTCACCAGGCGTTGCTATATATAAAACTTATGTATAAAATGTATATATGAATTGAATTACCGTACTGCTGATGATATGGACAAATATACAAGTTTATAATGATGTACATAAGCAAATTTAGTATATAAACAGAATTATCTATATCGATGTATTTCACTATCTAAGAAATACACTAACAAGGTAAACCCTGTCTTCCAAAACCGTTCAGGAATCGAACCCGTGACCCCGAGATGCTTAGAGAGGCTGTACCATCAAGCTCGGAAAAAAAACGCAATTAAACTTTAGAAGAAGGTTTAAAAAAATAGTAAAATAAACCTTCATTTCTTCTTCCTCTTAAAACTAAAACCAGGGCTGGGTACTGACCTAGCAGGGGCAGCAGATGACCTAGGGATGGAAGGAGCAGCAATCCCATCCTGGAGGCGGCCATGATGCAGGTCACCGTTGAGACACACACACACGCGCGCACTGTCTGTAGGGGGGAGAGAAATGGGTTACTTGTTGTCTCCTGAAGGTGCTGCTGGAGGAGTGGGAGATATAAGGGAGGAGAAGAAGGAGAGGGAGGAATAAGTAAATAAATAGATAAACAACAGACAGAGATATAGAGAAGAAAGATCAATAATAGAGAGAGATTCTGTCAACATAAAGAGATTCTGTCAATGGGAAAAAGAGATAGAGGCTAAGAAGATGGGAAAGAAGACTTAATTTCTATGAGAGAGGGCTAAGAAGGAAAGTGAGAGAGAGAGAGAGACGACATTAATATCTCATTAAAGCTTTGAGCGTGAAATTTCAAATCATCTTGGAATTATCTCAAGGCGTGAATCACCACCAGCTAACTACTTACGCAGTAATCTCCTTATACCTTAATTATGGCAAACCAACCATAAGAAGTATTTATCTGGTTGGGGGTGGTTCTGCTTGTTACAACGAGTGGTAGTTAGAGTGAGTGGTTGTTAGAGTGAGTGGTTGTTAGAGTGAGTGGTAATTAGAGTGAGTGGTAGTTAGCGTGAGTGATAGTTAGAGTGAGTGGTAGTTAGAGTGAGTGGTTGTTAGAGTGAGTGGGTGTTAGAGTGAGTGGTAGTTAGAGAGAGTGGTTGTTGGAGTGAGTGGTAATTAGAGTGAGTGGTAGTTAGCGTGATTGGTAGTTAGAGTGAGTGGTAGTTAGAGTGAGTAGTAGTTGCAGTGAGTGGTTGTTAGAATGAGTGGTAGTTAGGAGTGGTTGTTACAGTGAATGGTTGTTACAGTGAGTGGTTATTATAGTGAGTGGTAGTTACAGTGGTTGGTTGTTAGAATGAATGGTAGTTACAGTGAGTGGTTGTGACAGTGAGTGTTTGTTAAACTCAGTATTTTTTACGATGACTAAATGTTACGAGAGAGAGAGAGAGAGAGAGAGAGAGAGAGAGAGAGAGAGAGAGAGAGAGAGAGAGAGAGCTATCATTTTACAATTACCATGCTTGCAAGCAACTTTACAACAACACAACTACTGCACATACTTTTAGCTACTACATTTAAGCTAGAAAACTTTCTCTTGGCTTTCACTGGTAACTTTCCCCTGTACTCTGATTCTCAAAAAGTTACGGTAGAGTCTCTGCGCAATTCCATCACCATTTTCTGTGTTTCTATGGACTAAAAACAGAACAGCATAACGAGTTTTCCCATTTTTAGATAAGGTATTTTTTTTTTTTTAGTTTAGGTACTTATGAGAATCGAAGCTGTGGTTAAGGTTTTGAAGGAGGTTGTGGTGAGGGTTGTTAACTTGTTGTTCCACCACTGAGAGAAGCTCTTACAAAATTTCTGTTTGGTGGGTTTTAAAAGTTGAGCAAAGTTGGTTTTAAAACTTTTAGTTGGCAATAGAGGAGGGAGTGAGGCCGATAGTAGTGTGGGGGAAAGAGAGGAAATGATGAAGAGAGAGAGAGAGGAAAAAAATAGGAGGGGGAAATGAGAGATGAGAGAAAGAAGGCGAGAGAATGAGAAAAACAAAGCGAGAGAATTAGAAGACAAAAAAGATAGAGATTGAAAGAAAAAAGAAAATAAGGAGACAGAAAAAGAATGAGAGAGAGAGAAAAGAAAATCAGTGTTTGCCAAGCTTCAAACTCAACACTGTAATACGTATAAGGGTCTCTGTTAGACCGCCCGGAGGCCCTGTAGTCTGGCCTGTAAGAGGTCTCAGTACTTCTTTGGTCAGATTTGGCATGTGGGGTGACAGCCTCTCCTGGATGATTTTAGAAGATGAGGGGGGTGAGGGGGAGTGATGGGGGGTGAAGGGAGGAGGGGGGGGGGAGAGGTGACAATAATGACTGCATTTATAGAGCTAAAAAAAAATCACGTCGTATGCCCGCCAATGAGGTAGAGAGTGACAGGGGAGGTGCTTGAGAACTGGTAGTCAGTCGTGCAATCCTAAACTATCGTACAGCATAAAGAAGTCATTTATTTTGAGTACTGAAGGCCGTGGCAGTATCGGTAGTAAACACACACACACACACACATTGAATGCTAACCGTGTGACTTCATATGTAACTCCAATTATGAGAGTAGTTAGTAAGTTCCTTTAATAAGTAGAGGTATTTACTTAGTGTTAACACGGGGTACATAACAGTGCCTAAGACGAGACGAGTGTTTACACCACCCGAGACACACACACACGGAGAGAAACATTAATAAAGGAGTAAGATAAAGAAGAAAGATAAAGAGATGAGATAAAAGAGAATCTAACAGAGAGAAAAGCTTTACAGTCTTATCTTATAATCTCACCTGAGCTGCTGGATCACTTACTAATTACAGGGAAGTGACCCTATAACACCTGGTGACCCGTTAAAGGTAATTAAGATACAGTACACTGAATAATAAACACCTCGACGCTCTAATCCCCTTATGCAAAAAATAAAAAATAAAATAAATACAAATAAAATATCACAAGTTTAAGTGGCTATTAGTTTCATTTATTTCCTAGTTTCAGAGGATACTAATTTCATCAGATCACCTGAAGATTAAACACCCTCAATGCTACCTGGGAGTGAGTTAGATTAGTTTATCTTGTCTAATCATACATCAGGTGAAATAAGCTAGGGTGCCTATTTTTCAGGTGATCAGGTGATTCGTTTTGTCTACTGTAGGTTCAATAGTTGTTAGAGATGTGGTCTTTATCGGTGTTAACTTAAGAGAATAAATAACTAGGATTAAATATATCTACATCAGCACTTTAAATAAATAAATAAATAAACACAAACATACATTACATTACATACATACATACATACATACATACATACATACATGCATGCATACATACATACATACATACATACATACATACATACATACATACATACATAAAACAAATAATTCCCCTATTTTTTCATTATTCTTAGGGATTTTATAAAAGTTCGCTCTAAGTCTAATAAAAAAGTATTCTTTAAAATTAAAAAAAAAATACCCTGGCTGAGTCACATTGTCTTGTAATTAATCTCTTATAAGACTTAACTCCCAGCAGGATAAAATTTCACGAAAATTCCTTCATTAAAAGATATGACCAGAGAGAGAATATCACTTAACACACTAATAATAATAATAATAATAATAATAATAATAATAATAATAATAACAATAATAATAATAATAATCGATCTAATATTCTCAAACTCACAAAAGACTCTTCATATCATCAACGTTCATAACAGCTATGTGTGTGTATGTAAATAATAATAATATGTGTGTGTGTGTGTGTGTGTGTGTGTGTGTGTGTGTGTGTGTAACTCAACGAACAACACAACCTACAGTAAAAAAAAACAAATACATTATTTAATTAACCTCTATCTAGGTAAGCAACACCTGAGTTAATTATCATATATATGTTGTGGACTTAGTCTTGACACACACACACACAGACACACACACACACACACACACACACACACACATACACAAACACTTGTTTCTTTCTTCCTTAATTTGTTTATTTTTATACCTCGTTTCTTCTCTCTTTCTTCATGTTTCCTTCTCTTCTTCCTTCACCTCCTTTTTATACTTAATTCCTCTCTTCTCTCTCCCCTCTTTCACTTTCTCCATCTTCTCATCCATCTTTTCTCTCTCCCTCTCCTCTCATTCCTCTTCTCTCACTCGGATTCATCACATCTCCATTCTCCCCGTCTCCTCTCCTCTCCTTTCCCATCACCCCCACCCCACTAAGCCCTTCCACACACTCTTCTCTCCCACTCGTTTCTTCCTCTTCCTCCTTTATCCTCTTTCCCTCTCGTCACTTCTTCCCACTTCCTCCTTTTCTGTCTATAGTTTATCACCCGTCTCACTCCTCTCCCCTCTTCTTCCCTATCCTCTTTCCGTCCCGTCTCTCTATACTCATCTATCGTCTCCTCTCCCCATTCCCTTTCATCCTCTCCTTCTCCCCTACATTACTTTACCCTCCTCCTCTCCCTTACCTACCTCCCTCCTTTCTCTCCCTTACCTACCCTTCCTCTCTCCCCTACTCACCTCCTCTCCCCTCCCCAGTCGCCCAGGGAACTAGGGAAAGGTAAGCACACACACACACACACACACACACACACACACACACACACACACACACACACACACACACCTCTACCTGCATAACTCATCAGGTACTCATAGACTCCAACCTCTCCTACCACCACTCTGACCATTGTTGTGGTGGTTGTAACACGAGGGTTGCAACGATGTGCTGTTGTTTAATTGAAGTACTAAGATATGATGATAATGAGATATATGGTAATGCAGTGTTTTATATTATTTTGTTTGTTATTGTTGTTTTTGTTGTTGTTGTTGTTATTATTGTTGTTATTGTTGTTATTGTTGTTGTTGTTATTATTGTTGTTGTTGTTGTTGTTGTTGCTATTGTTATTATTATCATCAACTGTTTATTACTTTTATTATTATTATTATTATTATTATTATTATTATTATTATTATTGTCTTAATTATTAATAGTAAAATTACTATATACTGTATATATTGTTGTTATTCTTAGTATTTCTATATTTCCTTATCACTGTAACACTATACCACAATAATACATCAACTTATGGTGATGGGTGACACTACAACATAACACACGACTGTAACTCTGTAACGGTGAGAGATTACTGTATCCTCGCTGTACTGTATTCATATAATGTCCTGTGAATAGCTGTATTAATTCTCTTGTTACTTCCGCTTTAATTATTTTTTATCCGGATTTTAATTTACCTCTATTTAATTAATCCATTCCACTTGCCATTAATTTTTTATCCGGATTTTTAATTTACCTGTATTTAATTAACTCATCCGGTCAACAATTCTTCCTCATTAAGCGTTTAACTTCACCTGTACTTAAATGTTCTCTTATTCGACGTATTATTTTTTTCTTATATAATCTATTAATTTACCCGTATATTAATTATATTTTATTCGAATTATATGATTATTTCTATCAAGCCTATAATTTGGTTGTTGTTATTGTTG